ATTAATTTATTTTTGATTTATTATTTTTATTATTCTAATTATTATTTTGTTGTTGTTGTTGTTATTATTTTTTGATTTATTTTCAATGTTGCTCTTTTCCTGCTCTGCCTTTGGGGCCGCCCTAGCTCGGGGGGGTGGCGCTGGGGCAGCGCGCAGATAAAGCCTGTGATTCCCAAGGGCCTGATGGGGAAATGCCAGCCCTCCTGCTCCGTAGGGAGCTGAAATCACCCTTCCCTATCTCAAGCCTTTGCTTTTCCAAGGAGGATGTCCCACGTGGTGGGAATCTCATGGTAGAGGTCATGGACATGAACCCATGTTACCCCATGGGTTTGTGTCCCTATTCCAGCAGGGTCCCCTGACCCCTAAGGCTTGTGTGAGCCCCTAAAATTGGGGGAAAAAATATTGGGAAGCCTTTCTGGTGCGCTGGCTGTGCAGGTGTTGGATTTCCAAGCCCTTTCCATGGCCTCAAAGCCTGCTGGAATGCACATCCTCAAACAGCCCCGTAATTCTACACATTTTTCTCCTCCTCTGTGCTTAGTTCCCTCTGTTTTGGCTTACAAACCTCTTGTTTGTCTTTGCAGGGTCGCTGTGGCACGTGGCATCGGGTTCCATCCGGGCTCCTGCATCATCAGGAACATTGTTGCCTCAGTTCTGCTTCCAGAGCCGCGTGCTGTGAGGCGGCGCGGAGCCGGGAAGGGGAGTTGGGAAGGTCGTGGCACCGCCAGCGGCGTTCCTGGGTCTGCACCTGAGCACGGAACAGCTCTGAACGTGCCGCTAAGGCAGTGCTGGCCACGAGGCTCCAAACTCCCATTCTGTGTCCAGTTCTTATTTGCTAGGGGCCAGAGTATCACCCTGCTGTACCCTGCAGGATCACACCAGTGTTTATTTTTATTTTCCTTTTGTTTCTCTTTGAATTCTTGGAGCACCTGTAGCTAAATTACAAAACTCCAGGCAAGTCATTATCACTCAGGAGCATTTGTAACTTTTCTGTTTTTGTGTAATTTTTTTTGTAAGGATATAGCTGATTCCTGAGGTATTTTCCTCCTCCTTTGTGGGTAGATCATCATTCTGAAAATGCTGATTTTCTACTCCTCAGACAGAATGAATAGGAGAAAGTAGCAGAGCTGCCCGATTTTCATTTCTGGAGCGGGTGAATTTCCTTTTTGAAAGCAGTAAGTAGTCAAACCAATGGAAAGACAAAAGATATTCCTCTAAATCAGTTGGCCAAAGAAGAAAGGAAAGTCCAGATTCTCCTGCTGGTTCAGAGTCAAACACAGGGCTTTTAAGTCAGAAGATTAATGTTGGTGTGAATTTTGCTGATATAAAAACACATTTTGTTTGTGGATATTTTAAGCTATTTGATTTTACAGGGTTTTTTTTATCTTTTGCCCTTTCCTTATAAGATGCATTTTGTATGAGTGCTTTTATGACTGTAATGTGCTCCTGAATGTCCTCTTAGCTCCTTGGCAGAGTTATTCTTCCATTGCTCAGTTTTTCCTAACCAGAAAAAGATTTGTTTAGTTCCTTTGAAAGATGGGAGATAGGGGGTTGGGGCAAAGGAAGAGTTTGTGAGGCTTTACTTAATACCTAAAGAATGCCCTGTTACTTTACATGGGAGCTGGTAAAAAATGTAACTAGTAAATACTGTTTTCAGGTGTTACAATGATTACAATGACTTATATACATCAGCTGGTATCAATCCTGCTGATAAAACATGCTGAACAACCTTGTGTAGGAGGAAACTTGGGAAATGAGAGAGAAGTTACTGGTTTATATTGTTAAGAGTTAAAAAGACCTGGAGTAGAGGTAGTGGAGATTGAACAGGGCTGATGTTGGAACCTTTAGTACAAGGTAAGTATTGGTTCTTCCTTTTGTGTGAGGAAGCTTTTATTTTGATGAACAGCAGAGATATTGAAAGGAGTGGGGGTTTGGGTTTTTTTTTCAGATATTTACTTGTGAAATCATGTTGAGTGATGGGTGGACACTTACTTTGCTAGTTGAAATTTAGTCTTCTTAAGTAGCTATAACTGCTTTGCAAGCAGACATCTAATTATGTCTTTAGACTCCACAATCCATTAATTTCTGGAGTAACTGGTGTCGGTAATGCTCATGTGCTTCATCCTAGAAGAACCCTGGGTGTTCTGCATCAAAGGAAAACCCAGCATTTATATTGCCTAGCCTTGTCTGCTTTTGCCTGAGCTAATATTACTGCTTTCCCAGTAATGTTGCAAATGGCTGAGCCTTTTATTTAAGATGTTGTCTTTTACTGGCAGGTTGAAGCGGATTCTGCTGATTTCCTTCCCGAAAGTGCTCATTAAAGTGGCACCAGGATCAGCTGAGCTTCAGCAGGTGCCTCTCGAGCTGCAAGCAGAAGGCACAGGGGTCACTTAAGCAGAGGCTCCAACAGCAACATGGATGACCATTCCCCTCATACCTTTGAGCTTTGTCATTTTCATGAATTTAAGCCTACTGTTAATAATACAGGCCCTAGGGCCAAAAGGCCCTGTTACTCCTCCAGGGATGCTCAGGTGCTGCAGGCAGCTAAGAAAGCTTGTGTGTTGAGTCATCACTGTATCTTTCCATGTCCGTCAGAGAAGCTGCTGCTCTCTTCCCCAGATTCAGCCTCCTTTCAAGAATCCTCTCTTTTTCTGGATGATATTGGCCCCGATGAGCTTGTTGCCGGTTCTTCTTGCTCAAAATACGATGATGTGGCCATTTCTCTAGATACCAGCAGATGTTTTGAGGATAGTGAGCCAGACGACTCCTTGTTGGAACTGTCAGACAGTGAACAAGGGAATTCTCCTTTCAATTACACTGAGGAAGAGATCCAGGAAATCTTGGCAGATGATTGCTCAGGATCTGAGCAGTATACAACTAGAGAAAGCACTGTGAGCCAAAATGTTAATGGAGAGAGTGGAAAGGACGTGAGCAGCAGCTGCACTGGGGCATCAGTCATCAGTGAAGATGTAAAGGTAGCACCAAAGATGGCAAAGAAACCAAATATACCTCTGGCTAGGGTGTGTGCTTCACTTGGTCCAGAGTATTATCCTGACCTCGCAAATGAAACAGCTAATTCAAATGTGAGTGATCTGCAGTCAGCCGAAGTAACTGGCATGTTGTTTGACCTTGATATTCAGGAGCTTCTAAATCTGAGCCCAATTGATGCTGACTATGTAGATCAGCCTCTGGAGGACTTTTTTTTGGAAGAAACCAAAAGAGAAACTTCCCAAACCATAAGTGATTGCCTAGGATATGATAAAATTAATGCTAGTAACTTGGTTCTTGGAAAACCTTTAGAATGGCTGATGTCTAAAGGGCAGCACAGCCTGGGCATGGATCACGTGGGAAAAACTGCATTTGCGAGCAGGGATATGACTAACTTCCGTGATGGTCCTGCAGAAACTTCCACACTCTCTTCTGACTCTGCCTGTGACCAGAGTAGAGCTGATGAGAGCTCAGCTCTGCTGGACGTGTCTCCTGAGCCATCTCCTGAGTCCCAACACCAAGATCTTTCCAAAGGAACAAACTGCAGCTTTTCAGGGAAAACTGACCTCCCAAAGAACGATGGGGTGCAGGAATCTTCAGAAGCTGAACATCCATCAGACAGCATTAAAGTAAACGCAAATTTTAATTCCCACTAAAGCATTTTAAGTCTAGTACTTGTGCTTGACGGCTTGGTAGTAATGTGTGTGTGCACATAAGTGCCCTTTTACACAGTGAGCAAAGACTTTTAAAGCAGAAGAAAGCTTTTTGTGTGTGTATAACAACACTTACATGGAATGCACTTTTAGATGTTAATTCTCTTTTTCCTTATCTTTCTAGTTAAGTGATACAGCTGGGCAGAAAGAGACAACAGGTGGAAAGAAGCTGGGCAAGGT